ACCCGGATAATAAATATAGTAAAAATTTTTTTTCAAACTTTTGTTGAATTTGACCCGGCCGGGTTATGAGAACCAATTAATTAAGTTTGTATGGCCTTAGCTAGTTAATAACAAAAAATTACATAATTTCTGGAAGCCCCATTAAAACAAAAAAGCAACCACAGATCTATCAAAATCGATACTTTTACACTACAAAAATGTGTAATATTATTATGTGAACTATATATACACATTAAATAAATAATTATGATCTTAAACTATGCATTTAAAACTTTATTGATATTTATATTGATTAGGCTGTCGAGAATTATGCAATTAAATTTGTACATTAGGGCTTTTTAAAGACCTAAGGACCCTAGGTCCTTAAATTTGGTCTTGGTCTTTAAAGACCAGGTCCTAAAGTCCCGGACCTAAGGACTTTACCAACCCTAAATTAGATTAGTCCATTTTTTTAAATCAGTCAAAACATTAGAGATATGTTGAAGCTTTCTAAGTTGGTCATTTTTTATCAGAATAAACTCGTTATACGCAGCTTCTTGAACAGCATTATATTCATGGATACAATGATCATACCTAAAATATCAGTATTAGCAATTAAAGCTTAATTACAAATGTATAAACCACTCAAAACATACTGAATTTGGATTTCTTGACTTTTTTGCTTCCATTCAAGATAAACTGCAGCACCCTCTGATCGCAGCTGACTAATCCTTTGTTCAAAGGATGTGCATCGTTTCGCTAGCGTATCAATTTCATTTTGTTCAGACTGTTATAAATGAAATAATGTTTTCATTTTGACATTTATTAATTTACGAAATATGATTGATAAAGTACAATACTTTCCTGTTTTACTTCTTCAAATTGTCGTGCTAGTATATTTTTATTATCCTCCAGTGTATTTAGATCTATTTAAACAATATATTTCAACGCGTCTAATAAAAAAAGATAATAAATTGACAATCAACGTACCAATTTCTTTGTCAGCATTATCATCACTAAGGCGATGAATCTCTTCACTTATTAGAGTTATTTGCTCTTGAATCTTATCATATTCGCTATTAAAATTTTCACGTACTTCTGAGAGTTTTGTCTTTTTACATGGATGTAATATTAGTGTTGAAACAATGTGCAAAAACATCTTGGGATATCACATACCCTGACATAATTTCTCAAATCCAATGATATGATTTTATCAATTCTATCTGCATTAACATCAAGAGATAATTCATAATCTTTACCATCAGCATATTGTGCGCTTGATGGCAACAGACCAACGCGATAAAGACTTGTATTGTAATATTGAATTTGCTTTTCAATCTATTATATAATATCTTAAAGTTAGGGCTATATTTTCTGAAAATAAAAGAAAAAAAAGGGCACTAAACAACTAAATACATCGGCTATCCTTTTTTCAAGGTCCAGTCCTTTCTCCCATTGTAATTTGGATAATTCTTTCGCTTTAGTAGCAATGGCGTTACGATTATTCGTTATTTGTTCACTTTCTTTATGCATCCTTTCTACATCATCTGGGGATATTGGCTGACTATCAACCTTTTGCTGGATTTCGGCCTTCTCTTCTTCAACTTTCGCTAACTCAATTTCTGTTTATTAAGAAAATAAAAAGAAAATATCAGGAATTAAAACAATCAGTTGTCCATTATGACTAAGAATGGGGTTTGACGGCTTCGAGAAAAGTTTCTGTCACGTGAAAAGTTGTCCCAGACCATACTCGTATTATGAGCACCAACCTATTCCTTTATGCTCCTCATCCAATTTGATGATATAATCTTTAAGTTTCATTATTTTGTCTTCCAAATGTTTTGTATAAGCATTAAATTTAGTCATGTCTGATCGCAAAGTTTTGTTTTCATTTTGAGCAACAGTCAGAGGATCCTATATAAATTCGATAAGTAATTGCACGAGGAATAATACATAATTCTATAAGCAACATATCCCCACTTCGCTCATTTCATTCAATTGCTTTTCAAGTTCATCAACTTCTTTTTGCACTTCTGCACTCTTAGCAATAATATCTGCGTTACTTTGATCTAATTTTGAACATATTCCGTTAGACAGTTATTCGCTTATTGACGTAATGTATTAAAACTTTTAATTACCATAAGCAGCATCAAATTCATATGCCGCTTCCGAATAATCATCATCACCATTTAAAAACAAATTATACGCAGTGGTTGCATATTTAAAAAAAGCTGAATCAGGATTGAAGACACCCTCTTCAACTTCGTCTTCTTGATCTTCGATGCTTTCTAATGTCTAAATGTGAACAAAGGCAGCCGTATTATTTTTTATAAAAGAGATGATGCATATTCACGACTTGCTAAGCTCTCATAACTCACTGCGACATATTCAACCAGCCATCTCATAGCGCCTAAAATGAGGTATTTAATTAATTTATATTTAAACCATATAAATATTGATTTCGGTAAACAAATAATATAATACCAAGAAGATGTGGCCAACTTTGAACACTCCCTACAGCTTGTAACATTGATTTGGTAATATCATTAGCGAAAGGGTACCTAAAACAAAAAAGTCATTAAAAAATTTTAACATTACAAAATTAATGCAGTACTAATTCACACCTTAATTCGCGCAAGGCAGTTGCAATTTCGTCTATTTTTGTTATATCTTTCCCGTGGTCGAGCCGTTGATATACTAATTTGAACAATGTGAAATAATCTTTTGAAGTATTTATCTTAAAGTCTTTAAATTCTCCTTGAAACCCTAGCTTTTCTTTAGCGTATGTGTATACTATATCGATCGAATCTACTTGAAATGGTTTATCACGGATAGGTCGAATATCCTTTATTTGTCCACCCAAGCCGCCGCCAACACCACCACCTTGTTGATTAGTGGGTTGAATGTTACCGGCATACATACTCGTTCGTCTAAAATATGAGATTTAAAAAATCGATTAATGAATTATTTACGAGATCCTCTTAGTTCTGCCTAAATAAGTATAACCTGGACAATTTTGGAGTCCGACCAGCTCTGCTGGCTCCCAGACTGTCATTCAACCCATTGTTGTTAGCTTTAGCCAGACGTGTTGCAAAAGTTGGTGGTGCAGCTATGTGCGAGAAGGCACCTCGCGTATATTGATGCGGCTGATTGCGAAGAACAGTCATAGGCTGACGTAAACCTGAAACTGCTACATTATGGAGGTTCGGGTCGTTAGCTAACGTAACGCGGCGTTGTGCTAAAGCTGAATATTGCATATGATCCATGGTTAAAGAATAAATGTGGAATGTCGAAAATAAAGTTTACGCGTTTTGGAGTTGGATGATTGCAAACGCGATTGGCTAAACATGGTGATCAAATATGATTGGATATTTACTACCTCAGTAACGTAACGCCGACAAATTTTTTACTAATTCCTGTAACTTTTGTAATCTTGTAATAGAGTATATACAGTAAAATTTTAGATAAAAATTTTAAGTATCAACTCAAATTTTCTAAAATTTTTAAATTCTAAGGAATTTGATTATATCTGTCGTGCCTCAGATCAATTCTTGCGTCAGATTGAAACCGGCCTAAGTTAGATTAGGGTTAGGGTAAGAATCTGGGAAGGATTTGGGCTTAATTTAAGTCAATCAATATCG